GTGACAAACACACTTTTTATGGTATGTTCAAACCTATAGTGCCACATTGATGTGGCGCAATTCACCTCTCGACATCTTCATCATCATCCTCATCACCCATTAGCATCTTACTCTATAGTCTTCTCAGCATACACCAGCTCAGAATATGAGTGTTAAAACAAATGAAACATGGCACCCTTAAAAAACACAGCAAAGAGTGGTTGACCTTCTTTCAGAAAATAAACACAGACATTACTCAGATTTGCAGAAGGGGGGGTGTAAACTGAGGCAAGGTGCTGACATGGGTGAGGGTGGGTGGGGGAGTTTAGTGTGGTAGTGGAGAGGGAGAGCTGAAAGGTTTGAGATGTTGGATTAAAAGGAGAATAATTTGGAAGGAGGAGCTGAGGTCATGCAGCGGTTTGGCGAGTGGGAGGTTTACGTTTGGAGAAGGAAGGGGAGGAATTGGGAGGGGGGGGGGAAAGGAGATATATGATGTGGTATTGGGATTAATCCAATTTACACACACGCATGAACCCTGCTGGCCGTATAAACACACCGTGACTGGATGTTGGTTAAAGTGCCCGGCAAATCAGAAGGCAGGAAGGCGGGACAAGTGAACCAAAGAGTCCGATTTTGGGTGGGGAAAGAGAAGGAAATAAAGGCCAAAAGAGTCCCAGTGACACAATGAAAAAGAGGCTGATAGGTCAGGAGTTAAACTCATCTCTCTTACTCCCCCGGCTTCCCACTGACTCCTCTTCTCTCAAATGTTCAAATGTGATTTATTGGAAATACCCTGATAAAGGAACTGCCAAAGTTGGATGATGTAATTTGAGTCTGCATTTGCAATCATCACACAGCTTTTTTATCCTGCCTCTGGTTAAACCTTTGTCAAACTAGTTTTCTTTCACCACTTATAATTCGCACAACATAGATAGAGTGACTGTATGTTCATTTAGAGAGGACAACCAAACTGAGGAGTACACAGTGTCGAGGAAAGAGAAACAAACAGTACGTAAGAGAACTGTCTACTTTCAGATTTACAGTGTGGTGGTGGTGGGAGAGATTTGGCTGTGCACACAGGAGGAGGAAGACAGATTTACACGGTGAGAACAGCCCTGGCTGCTCTGGAGCACCACACTGCAAGACACACAGCCTACTGTTCCATAGATCTCTTATTTACACAAAAAAAGTGACTACTGCTTCAGCATGAAAACAAAACACTTGCATATTAAAAAAATCCACACCATTTTCCATAATCAATCATCATGTGAAATTAGTGAAATCATATTTTCCACACTCAAAGTCCATTCTTCCCAAGCTGCCTATGAAGATGTTACTCTGATGATTTATTGATCTAAAATCCACAAGGGGTTTAGTGTCAAGAGTGTATTTCTGCTATGAGCTGTAAAATAATGCGTTTATGGACTGAAGTGCTACATTGCATTTGTTTGTCTTGATCAACAATCTGCAGTACTTATCTTCAATCTACATTGAATGGCATGCCTTGATATTAGATACAGATATTCATGATCCCCAGAGGTTTAAACCAGAGCTGTGGGTTACGCCAATGAAAAATGTGTCAAATGTTCTCTGCCAATGCCAGACAGCTTTTTTTTGCTGTTGACTCTTGTTTGGTGTTGTTTGGTGGATTGGATGATTGAAGTCTGACTAAACAGACATATTGGCAATTTAACAATTTATTAATGTAAGCGCAGTTATTGCAGCCTCCTGGCAGCCCTATGAGATGAGATTGGTTGCGTGCAGTTTGGTCTGGATTGTCTGGGCAGAGAGCCGTCGGCCATATCGTCCTGCAAACATTGACTGCAAATCTATAGTACAGTAATCTCCCAAACTCAAATGTCCTTACTTTTCATGCTATGTTTATATCAATTTAAGACAAGGGTAGGGAATTAGTTTTTAGAAGCATTTTTTGTTATATTGTACATATAGCCCATTTACCTGCAATCATACATAATAAAACTCATTGTTCGTGACCAAAGTCTTATCCAGACTAAATGTCCCTATACAGAGTTGTTTTCTTGCTTGTTCCAGAGACATGATGTAGAAAAGTATGGTCAGTGATGACAAGGATGTGCTGCACTTCCCAACGCTTCCCAATGTTTTGGAGTAGTGGCTTCAGAGCAAAGCCTGAAGCGAGGGGGGTTTTCCATGTGTATACTTTCAGAATCTAGCTTACTCATGCTAATTTCCCAAAAGCTGCTTACCCCAACTATAACTGAATTGAACATCCAGGCTTCTTGATGATATTTCCTCTTTAAACTGAGGTTGTTTCCGTCAAACCTGTTTACTTTCACATATACTTACCACAAACTATCATTAATTTCCCTCTCAGTGTAAACAATAATAACAGAGCAGAGCAGGAAATGGGCTATTATGAGTCTCTGTGTGAAGGTCTGTCCTGTGTGTTTTCAACTGGGGATAAACCCCTGTAGGTGTGTGTGTGTGTGTGTGTGTGTGTGTGTGTGTGTGTGTGTGTGTGTGTGTGTGTGTGTGTGTGTGTGTGTGTGTGTGTGTGTGTGTGTGTGTGTGTGTGTGTGTGTGTGTGTGTGTGTGTGTGTGTGTGTGTGTGTGTGTGCCTCTTTTGGGGTTTTACTCCTTATTTAAGACCAATATTTACCCAGTAGCCCCAGGGTGAGATTACCTCATATTCTCCCGCCCAGCTGTGCTTTCTCAGCGTTTCCACGACGACCGGCGGAATGTCCCATCATGTTTATCTGCCAGTCGGGAAAATAGAGAGCGGAGAGAGATGGAGAAGATACACTGAGGCATATACAAAGACACTGGTGCGTTCACACTCTTGTATAATAATCACACAGGAACGCATAAAACACAAAGTTACTGTCACTAATGAGACAACATGTTAACAACATGTTACTGAAAGAGGATCCATACTGCCAAATTAATTTGAACTGCAGCCTTTTAAGAAAATATTTCAAATGAAACACTTAATTAAAGATATAACATGTAACATCTCATTATAATGTTTAAAAACCACTAGTCCTATATTTAATTTGTTGTTTAGGTGTGATCAGTATCCCAAAAGTTTACATGCATTTTTAAACGTAGACAAATCCAAAATTGTAATTAAGGTAAAAGTCTGTTTTATTTAGTAGTGTCTCTCTTTTGTGCATGCATCAATGTGCTAGTCTTTCCAAATAAATATTACTTTTCTTCTAGATTAAGCAATTTTTACGATACATTGTTTAGATCATAAATGTATTTAAAACTCATTAAGACATACAATTATGAATGCAACTAATTGAAAGGCATAATGAGTAGGATTTTCCCTATAGAACAATTCATGGACTCAAAAAATAATCCCTTTAATGACTAATGACCTACTGGAAGTTTGGTGGAGTATTTATCTGCAGAGCCCTCTGCTTTATTTTCATTTTGGGACGTTTCTGAACTTCTATGAAAACTTAGCAAGCGCTCGCCAGATTGTAAACAAGACATCCAAAAGTAAGCTGGCACAGCTCCAAACAATAAAATAGCAAGGCAAGACCCCAATAGGGAAAAGACTAGTCCTAAAATAAAAATGAATTTGTAGTTTGCTGTAACCCTCAGTAAGCCTGTAGACTCTCTTAATGCTTTGTTTACAAACCACCACCTAATCTTTTTTAGTAATTAACAAATTACTTTTTTGTCTGCAACTATGTTATAATGGATCATGAAGCATTTATTCATTTTTTCAACCCTGTTAAATATAAAGTATGGCTGATTAGAGAGTGACCAAACTTGCTGTTAATGGTTGGAAAGTGACCTTACATCACAATAGCAAAAGCAACAAACAGTACTCAATACGAATTCTTAAACCTAACAACAGCACAAGACCACCACTCAAATAAAAATAAATCTCATGTTGGTTGCAGGGACCTGGCAACCAACTGCATTAATGAATGGCATCTTCAGCTACAATGCAAATCTCTGTCAAGCTCCGTAGGTGACTAACCAAAACTCCTGACTTCCCAGAAACGGCCAAAGAGATCATAATTCAGCAATAATATGATGAGTTACCCAGTTACTAAACGTTTGAACATTGCATGTCTCAGGAACAACTTGTCATCATGAGTGGGCTTTAAACCACCAGCACTACACTGGCTGAATTCATAAACCTTCAGAACAGCTCAGTGTCTACAACCACAATAGTTGATTTGCCCTTGAGTGAGTTATTTAACCCCAAGAGACTAAAAGTCTGCAGACTGTTTTTGTTCCTAACAGAACCTGTGTTTATGTATGAAATGCAACCTTACTTCCTGCCTTTTCAGTTATTAGGCCAATCGCTGTTTGTGTTCTCAGTCAAACTGTCTGATTCGAGTCAAATTAAATTAAATACACTAAAAACTGTATTGGGTAAAACAAGAATGAAATAGCAGTTGGCAAGTCTTGTGCGATTTCTGTAAATGTCCTCCTGTAGGTCAGCTAAGCAAAACAATACTCATCATAAGAACTGAGATAGATGCTTGTATTACCTCCACCCCAAAAAAATTATAACTTGTAAAAGGTTGTGGGAAAATTGTGTATACTTTTTTGTCATTATTGGCTTTCAGAAAATCATGAACAATGGGTGACTGGGTTCATAGAGGTTGTCTCAGTGAAGCCTTGTTCTTTTTAGCCTAGAAAGCTTATAGTATTCAGGTCACTATCTTTGTTAACAACAACAACAATATTACAAAGTGTTGGTCTCACTAATACAGGACTTGTAAAAGTGTCCTAGCACAGAGGCAAAGAGCCCACAGTTACAGCAGTGTCTCTCTCAGCAGTTCCTGCAGTGTGGACTCTGTCCTGCCATGGGAACGGACAGCTATTTGCTTTAATTTGCAACAGAAAAGCTTGTGGTGTATAGTGACTGTTAGGGAATGTTCTATGTGGTCTTCTCTCGGCCTGCTTAAGTGATAAAAGTGTCATTATTTAGCCTCTGAAGCAGATGGGAGAGTGCAAACAAGACTGTATGACCCTCTGTCAAGAGCCTCCGTTCTTCAGAAGCTCATTAAGAGCCTCCAGGAGGACAGAGCATCAATTGGCAGGGACCACAGCTTCCTCTTGGCTTTTTAAGCCTCTCTCTTCGGATTCAACCCAGTCACCGGCTGGCTTACTTTAGAAATGGACTCAATTTAGAGGTAGAGGGGATATGAAAGATGTCTCGCTGTGAGGAGGCATAGGCGACTTATTAAAACAGCAGGTTAAAACCCTTGGACTTGAGCCAAATAGGATCTCACCCTGTCGACCGGATTTGGAGAAATTTGGATTTACTTGTTGAGATGCTTTCCCCTTTTGATCTCTGTGACTGGTGAGTGACTTCAGCCAGTCCTGCAACCTTTGATTGGCGTCAGTTTGTATGCTTGACTGAATAGCAGACTTATACAAGTTGCATATCCTTTGAGTCTGCCGTTTGGGACTGAATGTGGACATGCAGGGGCACTTAGTAGACTCCACGTTAATAGATGTTGTCATTGACATGAACATGATGGAGTTTCCGCAAAAGTTCGCATCGGAGGCCAAACGGCAGGTTGATGATGACGCATCCAGCCCGGACACCCAGACGCGGCTGAGCGACTCGCCCTGGAGCGACATGGAGGACGACGAGCATGAATTGAGATACTGCAGCGCGCACGGCCATCACAGCAAGTCCAAACGGAGGCGGATCATCAACGTGGTCCAGCGGCAGGCGGCCAATGTGCGGGAGAGGAAGAGGATGTTTAGCCTGAATGAGGCGTTTGATGAACTGAGGAGGAAAGTTCCCACATTCGCCTACGAGAAGAGACTGTCCCGTATAGACACACTCCGGCTGGCCATCGTCTACATCTCCTTCATGACGGACCTGCTGGAGAACACCTGAAGTGTCCAATATTAACTTTTTCCCCTGGAGATTGGATTCAGTTTAATACGGAAATGGTGGTGAACTGATCTTAATGTGCATTCATTTCAGCTTTATTCAAACTATACAAGATACGACAAATACATATTTAAAAACTAGGCAGTCTTTCTTATTTACAACGTCTCAGCAATATCCCTTATGTCAAAAACGTTTATCGGTGACATCTTTTTTTTAAATTTATTTTAAAGACAACAATTATAAAACCAGCACAACCTAAGAGTTCCAAATTCCAAATATTTCACTAAGCCTAATATATGTGAGTGACTTTTTGCTGCTTAAAAATAAATCTAAATGCTCGTATTGCTTCGGTGTTCTTTGCGCTGCAACATTAAGAAAACAAGTGAATTGTGTTTAAACTCTAATGCAGGGGTGGGGAACCTCCGGCCCATACGGCCCGCGAGACCATTTCGTGTGGCCCTCGAGGTAATTTATAAACACACGCAAAAAAGAAAAAAATTAAAGAAATCTAGACCGCAAAATAATTAAACAAGTGAGAGCCTGTTTTTCCTGGCCAAGGTCAGGGTCCTTGAACACAACACAAGCCTAACGTGTCATCACGTGGTATATGTCTGACAGGGGTTTAGTTCTGACGGAGAGCACCAGAACTCAGCTCCGCTCCGGCTCTTCCAAAAATTGCAGTACCCATAAGGAGCCGTACACATGCTGCAGTTTTTGCGTGGCTGTGTCTTAGTTGAAAGCCCAGTTGCGATCTGTTCATCTGTCATACTGATCATACAGTCAATAACTTTGTTGTTATTAGCATCTGGTTAGCTAGCTATGCTAACGAATATAAGAAGCTTTTTCTACAACCAGTGAGGCAGAGGTAGAGGCACATCTTTATATGATCATTATAGTTATAAAACAAATAAGAGAATAAAGTAAACAGGTATAAAATGATATATGACAGTAAAAAAAAGTTGTTATTAATAAACAAGAATACAGTTTGAAAGGAGAGTGATTTGTAAAATACCCATAAAGAAAAAGAAAATATGCTTACAGTTCTGTTTCATCTGGGTGTTGAGAGATGTATCCATATCTCCTAATGTTGCTCTCAAAGTGCACCAGATTGATGCTTTTAACTTAACATTTAAAAAAACAAATCTTCCCGGGGGAGCATGCCCCCCGGACCCCCCTAGAGGAGGTTAGGTCCCCCCCCACTTAAATCATGTTCACAGGAGTCTAAATACATTTGCACACATCTTGTGTCCATCCATATCTTTCTGTTTTGGTGGTCATGCCACAACCGTGCACGTGCATGCGTGAGTCATGGCAAGATATCTGGATTAAGAGGTTGCTTTTTCTTTGCACAGCATGAAAGAAAGGCGAAATGAGTAGGCTGTGATTTTAGTATTTTTAAGCAGAGGTCAATAATTTGTACGGCCCTCGGAGGATGTTGAAAACATTGAAATGGCCCTTGAGATGAAAAAGGTTCCCCACCCCTGCTCTAATGCCAGTAGTAGCCTATGTAATTCGCGTGTATTGTCTATAATTAGAAGCCTGCTTCCAACATTTTAAAAAGTGTACATCTTACACAGTAATACAAAAAGTGTGCCAATAAAAGTTGGCAGCACATTTAAGATGCTAAGGTTAAACCAGGCATCCTCAAACTACGGACTCCGGTCCGGATCCGGACCGAACCACCACTGTCTCCGGACTCCGAGCAAATTATACTTTTCATATGTATTATCTCTCTGTATTATATGTGAGACATCGCCACAACGCATTCGCAACGAGTCAAAATTCTCCGCTATGTCCACTGCAAACAGCGCTCTGCATGTCTGACTGTTCCACTGTGTTCCACCTGTGTGTGTCAACGCTTTGGTCCAATCACATTCAGCATCCAGTCAGCGTTTTTTCCCCCCAAACAATCTGCGAATCAGAGGCACAGTAGGGCGGGTCTTCGCGGACTGCGGGTGGGGAAAATGTGTGTGTCTCTTTCAACCTGTCTAAGTCAGAGCGAGAATTTAAAATAAATAAATTCAGAGCGAGAGTTAACAGCTCATCTAGTTCCATCTGTACTGTAGCTAGTAGCCTAGTTTCACCTACCGGGGTGGCAGCTGCCACCCCAGTTGGCAGCTTTGTTTTGAAAGAAATGTTGTGGCTCATCGGACATTTATGAGAGAAAGTCTCTAATGTCCGAGTGCAAGTGAATGCAGCACAAGATGCACGTCATGTAACCCCTCCCCCGGTCCTGGCGAGAGCGTGGATATACGATTGGCGGCGATTTCATTTTGAACTGGACGGCGCAAAACGAGAAGCATTCGGACCCAAGCGCTGAAGGAATGAGGTATTTGCGGTCTGACAGAGAAGAGACTGTCAGTTTGGCTGTACTCAGCATTCAATCAAAACGCACTAAAGCTGTTGATCTTAATACGTTTGTGAGGCGTTTTGCTGAACAAAATGGTAATCGCCGCATTCAGCTGTAATAGACATGTCAACTTGATGCTCTGCTCACGGATGAGCATACACAACTATTAAGATGATGACCTTACGTGTGTAAATATATTTTTTTCTTTGAGGGGGTCTGCCCCCAAAAAACTGTTTTAAGTCAGTGCATTTCCTTAGCTGTGGGTGAGTCCACTGACACCACTGACAATGCTCAGTTGCTGGTGTTTGTGAGTTTTTATGATGAGGCAAAGGGGGAGTTTGTTGAAGATGTGTTGGGCCTGACGAACCTCAGTGGACACACAAGGGGGAAGACATTTATAAAGCAATAATGGGAATGCTGAATGAAAGAGGGTGCAGCTGCCTTTATTCATAACTGTGCAGCTCTTACACTGCGACTCTGAGGGGTCAAGCACAGACACAATAACAATGAAAACTGCTGCATACAGATTATTTTTGTTTTTGCAACCTCATGTTAAGAATCTTGTTGCAATTGTTTAAAAGTTTGAATGACCGTAATAAACGGACCTTTGTCTTATTGAAACATTTATTTTGGACCTTTAAGATTTGTATTTGAGTACCCCTGGGTTAAACGCTTCAGGTGCGTTATTTATTTCAGCACCTTGGAGAGCGACACAGCCTCACCTTGTGCCGATGGGACAGGTGTGGCTGAGATCAAGGGAAGCTTAAAGATTTGCTCAGAAGAAAATCACAACAAAAACAAGATTTACTGGGCCTTAAACATTATCAACCGTGTCACGTGCAAATGAGCAAAGATTACTCGGATTTGAATCGCAAAGTCAAGTCTCACTGCGTGACGATGGGTGTTATCTTTATCACTGAGGTGTAAATTGAGTCATTGCAGGGAGATCCAGGCCCGACAGGCGCTTGTGGCGGGTCTTCCTGATATAAAGGGACCAGACCTGGCCTGCTGTGAACCTCCTCCTCCCTCATCAGAGCTGAGGCCGCCCTGTGGATGATTCACACCATAGACCACCTCCAAAAGTTACCAGATTTAGTTTCAGCCACATCTAGAGGCTGGTTTTTGTAGCGTGGCAGGCCCCACAGCTGGGTGGTGCGTGTTTAAACTTTGTGCGTGCTCCGCTCTCTCTCGCTCTCCGTCTCTCTCCTCTCGTCTCTCTCTCTCTCTCATACGTCTCTCTCTTCTCCCCTTCCTCGGTTCTAGATCTCTCTCCTCGGTCCTCTCTCTCTCTCTCTCTCTCTCATCCTCTCTCTCTCTCTCTTCTCTCTCTCGCTCGATCGTCTCATCTCGGTCTCTCTCTCTCTCTCTTCTCAGTGCTCTCCTGTCTCTCTCTCTCTCTCTCCTCTCTCCTCTCTCTCTCTCTCTCTCATCACCCTCCGGTGTTTGCATTGCTCTCCAGCCGTACACCGCCTTCAGTGACCCCGCTGTGAGCTCGGATCCGCCCTGAGAGCTCCCTGGGTCGGCCCGTCTTTAAACCTGAGCCTCGGTGTCCAGATCCCTGCGGGAGTCAGACCCATTTCAGCGCATACCTCAACGCGGGGCTGCTGACGGGAAAATAAACACCTCGCTCTGCTTACGAGCTGAGCCCTCCTACTGTGACAACCTCCTGTGTTTCGGTCTGATATTTTTTCACCGCCACCACTGCTCCCAACTCAGTGTCTAGACCTGTGCAGGGAGACTTAAAAGCCGAACAGACTAAATGTATTTGTAATAAGAAATAAATGCCAGTCAACCTATGTTAAAAATAACTTGAAACATATATTAAAACAGGAAATGCATCAAGGTTTTCAAAAATAAATATGAATTAATATTAGTTAATAGGCCTTACTAAGATGTGTTAAAAGTTGATGGTGCTGCAACAATACTTTATACTATTTGTTTATGACAAACAGTCCAAATGGCATAGAGGGGATTTTCTATAAAAAATATACGTATTATTCAGCTATTGCAAGATGTTAAACAGCTCCAGTTATGATACGGTTATAATAGTTGTTCTCTTTAAACTACATGCCAAAATTCAACAGTTTAAGGAAAAGGAACAATGTGTATTAGAGGCAGAAGTAAACAGGCGTAGGGAATGGAGAAATATTGAATCCCCTAAAACAGGAACAGTTTCTGCTTCCCTTGCACAAATCTACACATATGATTCAACAACACTTCGCCCCACACCCTCTTTCGCAATCTTGTGTAAGGGAGCCTCAAGGAGTCTTAAACAGCATTTCTGATATTATAGCTAGAACTCGCCTTCCCCTGCAGTATTGGGTTACACCCCTCCTCACCCAATCACAGCACTCCCCAAAATCCTCCTGCCCTCTCCCCTCTATAAGAACCCCGGTCCTCCCAGTCTGGCAGACACCTCTCCCTCTCTTTGGCGCACGAGATTTACCGTAATACCAGCCCACTCCCCCTTTCAGGCCACACTTCTTATTACCTGTCGTGTTTGTTGATGTTGTAGCCAGTTTCCTGAATTTGGGTCAGGGGTTATTACGCTCCCACAGACCATATACACGTTTTGGAAGAGACGATGCGGGAAGAGGACTCCTCTCCAATGGACAGTGCGGGAAACAGCGAGGAGGAGACCGACCGTGAGCTGCCCAGGAGAGGCGCGAGGAAGCGGCGAGCAACACGGAGGCGCGCAGATGACAAGGTTGAAGAGGAGGGAGACTTGGAGAGTCCGAGCATGGAGACCGGGAAGAAGAAATGCAGAAAGAGCTGCGAAGGAGGAGGCGGCAGCGCGGGGAGCGGCGACAGCGAGGCCAGCAGCAGCAGCAGCAGCCCCGAGCCCTCCTTCGATGACCTACACACACAGCGCGTGGTGGCCAACATCCGCGAGCGCCAACGAACGCAGTCCCTGAACGAGGCGTTCACGTCGTTGCGTAAGATCGTTCCAACCCTCCCGTCAGACAAACTCAGCAAGATCCAGACACTAAAGCTGGCGTCCCGGTACATCGACTTCCTGTGCCAAGTTCTGCAGAGCGACGAGCTGGACGCGCGAGCCACCAGTTGCAGCTACGTGGCGCACGAGCGTCTGAGCTACGCGTTCTCGGTCTGGAGAATGGGGGGCTCGTGGTCCTTGTCTACTACTACCACTACTACGACGTCCCACTAGCAGGGCTGCTGTGGATGGTACAGCACGGTAAGATGAGCGACTTCAACTTTTCATCCTGCAGGGAGACAAACTGTACCAAAAATATTCCAATGCGTATTTTACGCATGACCAATCTTAAAATATTATTATTTGAATGTCCTTCCAGGGATACTATTGATCCAATGTTTGCATGGAATCCCCCCAAAACACTTCCCTGAAGACTGTGATAAATAGTGTTCACATTATTTGTAAGACAGCCTCAAGATTGCACAATCTATTTGGAACTTGGCTACTACCCCAGAAAATGTTTACATGCATACCTCAAAGGCCACAACCAGTTTACTGCTGCAAGTTTTTCTTCAAATGCATTACATTTCATGCCATTTTTCTGTGTTGGATGTTTTATTAATCTAAATAATGTTTCTTTTACAGAATATCCAGAGTGCAGAACCAGTGGATCAGGCCGACCCTTCAGATAGACTGAAACAGGCTGAACACAGATGACGGGCCTGCCGCTGTGGGCCTCGGAGGAGAGTGGGCTTTTCATATTCCCTGCTGCAAGGACTGTAATGTTTGCAAGGGAGCACTTAGGACAGACAGGACGGATATGAAGAAAGAAAGACCACTGCGACCATGAATGTTGTAAAAACAGAAAGTGATTTCTGAGGAGCCACTCTGTTTTGAAACATGAGAGAAAAATGACAATTCATTCCCTGTGACAGTGTTTCACAGCAAATGAAGTACTCTGTATTTATTTTTCTACAGAGGCTCGACATTCCTTTTTCTTCCACTCAAATAAAAGTTATTTATTTTTGGGATATCCCAGAATGCTGAATGGATCAGAAATCTGCGCATTTTGAGTGTTGTAAATATTTGCTAATATCTTGAATAAAAAAAATGACAGTATCATTCTTACCTTTCAATTGTCTGGATATGAATTGTAGACTTTAACTTAAGCTTAATCACAAAAATAATAAACCGAGGGAGGTTGTTTGACACACATAATTAAATACCTGACATTTTTGAAAACTAACTCATGTCCCATAGTCTCAGGACTTTGAGCCTATGCAGAGAGTTTGTTTTCATTGGTTGTTGCTGAATCCCCTGTTAACTGAACCACAGTGGAGGGGGCAAAAGAAAACATCTCATACCCGGGGCTTATTCTGTAGTGATTTCTTGAGCTCAGGGATCTGGGGAAGCCATAATTAGCTGGTGGTCTGTTTGAACAGTGTGAATGTGGAGCTGTGGGATGCATGCACCATATACCCAGATGTCCTCTGAGCCACAGGTCAGCATGGGAGTCTCTGCAGGTGCAGCAGTAGCTACCCCAAGAGCTCTCAGATAAAAGGGTTGGATACGGGTCATAAAGCAAAAAATGAATAGCCTGTGTGATTACATATTTCTGCAATTCTAATGAAAGAAATGCTTATAATAGTGGTACAATGCAAAAACAAATACATTTTAGCAGGCACTTGTGATGTTAAACTCAAAGTGGTCCTATGTTATGAGGTTCTTTCTAAATATTCTAAATTATACAAATATTCAATTTTCACTTTCTATTTCTTCTGTTTTAACGTTTCATAACAAATTGCATATGTGATCAGGTTGTGTAACAAAATACATTTTCTACTGAAACACCAAACCTTAAACATTAGTAATTAGAGTTTTTATTTTTTAGGAAATTTGAGGTTTATGTACATTAGAGGCTGAGGAGCAACACATATCGAACTGCAGAAAAAAAAGTCTCCATGAGCAAAATCTGAAAAGCTTGGACTCTTAGATATTGAACACTTTCCAAAAGGACTTAAAGGGGCGCTAAATGAATGCAGGGACCCAAAACAACCCTTTGTATATCAGTTACTTGTTACCCTGTGTTACCATGAACTATGAAACAAAAAGCAGAGAAAAGTCTTGATGAATAGAAGTTTATGATGGCCATGTTTAACAACAGCAAAACGATATCAATACATTGTCTACTTACACAGCTTGTGTAATATAATAAAGTTAATCTAGTTTGTTGTTGTTACATTTTGCCCCCATTGTCTTCAATTCAAGATTTTTTTCTAGCTTTTTGGATACTTAGTTCACATGAAGGCATTGCGTAAAAAACGTTTTTAAATACAAAAATGTAAGTAACACAATGTGAGGAATAAATGTACAAATGTTAATTTTAGTAAAGTAAAGTATTCCTTTAAGTCAAAGGTTTCCATCCCATGAATGTTCGTAAATGTCACGTAAAAATGCTCAAAGATGACACAGTGAAATACTGTAAAGTCCCAAAGGAATGGGCTATTACACGTTGTGCTTTCATAGATAAAAGAAACCGACACACTCTTTATCATAGTGCGTTCCATATCTCTCCATAGGGCTGTTGAGGGATGATTTTGGAAGAATTACTGTGTTTTTGCTTCACGGGTTGCGTGCGGAAGGTAAAGCCATCAGCTCTGACCCGAGGTCCTCGCCTGCAATCGGGGGGGAATCGATTCCCACCCTTAGATCACCGTGGCCGTGTTATCTTAAACTTGAAGCTGTTGCTCTGACACGGAGGAATGTCACCTCTGAGGCTTCGAAACACACTCACACACACACATATATAGGTTATACACACAACGAGGGAGATTTCTCACGCCTACCAAACAGGGAAATAAATTCCACAGAGAGAGGGGGAAGAAGAGGGCTCCTGCAACCCAGCTCCTGCCCCCCCTTTGATGTTTTGAGGTAATGGGATGACCGCTTGTTATCAGCGTGAAGGCATCTGGCTCTCTGGATATAAGCGTGCTATGATAAACTCTTTGATGACTGACACACACACTCTCTCCCGATCATTAATCACCGTTTATATATCATTGCTTTGGGCCTGCAGTCCTTCAGCTGATCTTAAAGTCAAAGGTGCAGGCCTGTGTGTGTTTTAATAACACCAGGAGCTGTTCATCTTTGTAGAAATGGATTTCACACACATCCACAAAGATAGTAGGCCTTAGTCGTTGTTTGTTTGCTTTTTTAAACGTATACAGCCTGCTGTCTTCCTCATTTCGTTCTCTCTCTGAAGTTCCCATTACGGGGTAACAAGAGCTGGTTTACATTAACCCTCAACACCACAAAAGACAGGGGGGAGAGGAAGCTGAACTGACAAACACACACACACACACACACACACACACACACACACACACACACACACACACACACACACACACACACACACACACACACACACACACACAGACAGAAAAAGAGACTATATTTGCAAGTCTGGTTTCCATTAGAGCTAATTATCTGTGTTTCATCTCAACCTAAAGCTGTTAGTGTGTGTATTTGCAAGTGTATAATGTGTCTTTGTATGTGAGCGTTAGTCTTTTATTTATGTTCTGCTGTTGTTTAATCATAGTCCCAATTTTCTGAAATGCAATAAAATAGTGCTTTGCATATCACTGCAGCATCTCCATCTTAAGTCATCCATGACAGCAAACTTGGTGAAGATACAGCACAGATACTAATTTGTTTTTGGCATACAGCAGAACTTTTGAGCATAGTTAATGGTCATACAAGGTTGATTTCTACATACAAGGTCTGTTTGTTTATAACGCACACAGTATTGAATATGAATTCATTGGTTTCAGGGGGCACCTTATCAGTATGGTGGTGTATTGCATAAAGAATAAATCAATCCAGAAACATATACAAAACTTTGGGGATTTTTTGGAGTTAGTGAATTCAATTAGCACAAATAGCCAAACATCATCCCAAAACAATCACAAACCAGCCAAATGCTTTCATTATCATTTCATATTTACTGGGGGCGGGGGGAAGTTCTCAGCAACATAGTATTTCTTTTAAATATAAGATATCAATAGAGAAGTAATATGGGGAGAACTCAGCAGAGTATTTAACACTTTGAAAGAGATAGCCTTGTTTTTAAGAGTTAGGGGCTATGTTAAAATAAGCAGGAAGTAATAGAGTGACAGGAGTGACAGAAAGGAAGTCGGGGCAGAGCAGCGCAGTAACATAATGAGCTCTCACATATTCCCTGAGGACGGTGCCAACTTCACCCATCACTCCCGACCTCTGACCTCTCAAAGTGACCCCCTACCCAGTCTACAGCGACCCCCAGCTGGACCACGAGCCACCATATTTACCTCCACAAAGCAGCCACTCAGTTCACTAATACCTATCAGATGGATGGACAGAGGAGTACAGGGAGAAGGGGAATGGATTGTGGGATAGGAAGGAAACATGACCAAGCTCCGAAAAGAACGTACAAGTGAGAAAAAGAAGAAGCGAACTCGGAGAAATGGGAGCAGGAAGGAGGGAATAACTTATAGGAATCCTCTCAGCGCTCCTGCCCGAGGCTGTTTATCTTCCAGATTGAGTTAAGCGCAAGCCTCTTATAACTCTCCACATACCAGACAATATCACAGTGACCCCGTTTTACTAACATAAACATATGCGCTTTATCAAAGACACGGCACGGCTCATTCAAACACATGGGCTCTTTCTCCTAACTTAATTTACCTCGCCTTATACAAAGTTCCTTTATTGGATTTGAGTTTTCTAATTCTGGCTTTAAATGGGGAACTTTAGGGGGTCTATTGATGGAGATTGAAAGGTTTTCTCCATGTTTACCTTATGAAATCACAGTGGTCTCTTATCATGCACGCATCTATGGACTATCAGCATGGGAAACCCTGAGGTCACACACAACACACTGTGTTTTTTCCACAGAGAGAGACCATTGTTTGACTGAACATAGGTCCATTCACAATGATAGGAGTGTGGCTGTCAATGGGGAAATGTATGTTTCCTTGTTGTGTTAAAATAAGAGAGAATTGTCCTGACTCTGCCAGCCGGCACCTCCGGGTCTGAAAAGTGAAGCCTTTGCGAATTCTCATTTAACCTGAATACAACAAAAAAAATGGCCAGCAGGGGATAACCTTTGTTTGCAAAAATAATTCTGATTGTATTGAAGGAAATAAGAAAATTAGCCTACTTCTCATCTGATTTATAACTCTAGTTTATCAATACAGCATGATGTTTCATTCTTAATTATTCAATTTAGTGCATAATATATGATAGCAGTTTTTGCGTTCAAGCATGTGATTGACAGTTTGCTACCACTGTTTTGTCTGGTCTTCAACCCTTTCAAAGTGTATTTAAAGTTCATGAAAAAAAAAATTATTTCCCAAAATTGTTGCTTCTCTCTTGTGTAGCGACAGCCGAGACATTAGGCAAGTTTATAAAACGTTGGTACATAAACAAATGGGTCACATCATAGTGACTTCCACAGTCTATGGAGGCTGCACAGAGATCTGACACACACACACACACACACACACACCACACACACACACACACACACACACACACACACACACACACACATACACACACACACACACACACACACCCACACACACATACACACACACACACACCCACACACACACCCACACACACACACACACACACACACACACACACACACACACACACACACACACACACACACACACACACACACACACACACACACACACACACACACACACTCAGTGTTGCATCAACCTGGATTATATAACGTTTTCAAGCTTTTCTCTGTTGAAAGCAATAACCACAGCACAGCCTAAGTTTACAGGCGATCTGAGGGCCCCTGTCATGAGTGAGTATGCTCACACACACACACACACACACACACACACACACACACACACACACACACACCACACACACAACACACACACACACACACACACACACACACACACACACACACACACACACACACACACACACACACACACACACACACACACACACACACACACACACACACTCACAAGGGTAGTGTGAGGGATGGCTTGGCAGTAAGACTCAGTCCAGCCTCAGTGTTGGTCTAAGGGGAGCTGCGCTGGGAGAGAAATAGCCG